ATATTATGCCTATATTATAAGATATATATAAAACATTATTATATTTATTTATGCCCCCATTTATCTCCCCTAAAAGGGGACTCAAAGCATCCACATCACCATATATATATATATATATACACACACACACACACACACATATATATATATATACACACATATATACATACACACACACACATATATATATGACATTCTTCTTATTATATTTATTTATACCCCACTTTATCTCCTCCAAAGGGACTAAAAGGGGCTTCACATCAAAAGTATCAGCATAACCATTCAAAAACATACAAATATGCAAACATTAAAAAAGGATTAAATATAAAATTCCCAGTTAAAAAACCACTGAAAGACATTTAAAGCTAACAAGCACAGCAGCCCCTGGATTGCTCTTCAAGAACTTTCATCTTTAATATCATATATCTATCTATCTATCTATCTATCTATCTATCTATCTATCTATCTCTCCTGAGGAATCTGTACAAGGACCAAGTAGCAACAGTCAGAACTGACCACGGAACAAAAGACTGGTTCAAGATTGGGAAAGGCGTACGGCAAGGCTTCATACTCTCACCCAACCTTTTTAACTTGTATGGAGAACACATCATGCGATGTGCAGGGCTTGATGAATGCAAAGCTGGGGTGAAAATTGCTGGAAGAAACGTTAACAACCTCAGATATGCAGATGACACCACTCTGATGGCCGAAAGCGAGGAGGAGCTGAGGAGCCTTCTAATCAAGGTGAAAGAAGAAAGCGCAAAAGCTGGGTTGCAGCTAAACATCAAAAAAACCCAAGATTATGGCAACAAGAATGATTGACAACTGGGAAATAGAGGGAGAAAACGTGGAGGCCGTGACAGACTTTGTATTTCTAGGTGCAAAGATTACTGCAGATGCAGACTGCAGCCAGGAAATCAGGAGACACTTACTTCTTGGGAGGAGAGCAATGTCCAGTCTCGATAAAATAGTAAAGAGTAAAGACATCAGACTGGCAACAAAGATCCGCCTAGTCAAAGCCATGGTATTCCCTGTAGTAATCTACGGATGTGAGAGCTGGACCTTAGGGAAGGCTGAGCGAAGGAAGATAGATGCTTTTGAGCTGTGGTGTTGGAGGAAAGTTCTGAGAGTGCCTTGGACTGCGAGAAGATCCAACCAGTCCATCCTCCAGGAAATAAAGCCCGACTGCTCATTGGAGGGAAGGATACTAGAGACAAAGTTGAAGTACTTTGGCCACATCATGAGGAGACAGCAAAGCCTAGAGAAGACAATGATGCTGGGGAAAGTGGAAGGCAAAAGAAAGAGGGGCCGACCAAGGGCAAAATGAATGGATGGCATCCTTGAAGTGACTGGACTACCTTGAAGGAGCTGGGGGTGGTGACGGCCGACAGGGAGCTCTGGCGTGGACTGGTCCATAAGGTCACGAAGAGTCGGAGACGACTGAACGAATGAACACATCTATCTATTTATTTCTAATGGGGAAGGCTCTCCAGGGCCAGGAAGGCATGAAAGGGACTCCACTGCCCATCAGGCCCAAGGTGAGGGATGATGGGGAATGTAGTCCAAAGAGGAACTGGGGGCGGCTTGGGCTAGAAGATACCCTAAAAACTGGTAGGAAAGATATGATTGGTGTGGGTTGCTGTGAGTTTTTCGGGCTGTATGGCCATGTTCCAGTAGCATTCCCTCCTGACATTTCGCCTGCATCTATGTCAACCATCCTCAGAGGTTTGTTGCAGGTGAGACAAGTGGAGTGTAATATATCTGTGGAATGTCCAGGGTGGGAGAAAGAACTCTTGTCTGTTTGTAGCAAGTGTAAATGTTGCACTTGACAAGCTTGAATAGAACTGAGTTGCCATGAAGTGTTTAAAGTCAATCACTGAAGGTATCTGCATAGAGGTAGTGAAGCAAGTGGAGTGTAGAAAATGCAATAATGTCCAGGGTGGGGGAAAGAACCCTTGTCTGTTTGAAGCAAGTGTGAATGTTGCACTTAGCAAGCTTGAATAGCATTGAGTAGCCATGAAGTTTACAGAGTCATTCAGTGAGGATATCTGCATAGAGGCAGCCTGGCTGTTGTTGCCTGGAGGCATCCTTTGTTTGGGAGGTGTTGACTGGCACTTGGTTGCGTCTGTCTGGAGTTCCCTTGTTTTCTGAGTGTTGCTCTTTATTTACTGTCTTAATTCTGGTGTTTTTTTTTTTATTCTGGCAGCCAGATTTTGTTCATTTTCATGTTTTCTTCCTTTCTGTTGAAATTGTCCACATGGATTTCAATGGCTTCTCTGTGCAGCCTGACATGAAGTCTAAAATTTCCATATTCTCAAACAATATACTGTGTTCAGGTTGGTTCATCAAGTGCTCTGCTATGGCTGACTTCTCTGTTTGAATTAGTCTGAAGTGCCTTTCATGTTCCTTGATTCGTGTTTGGGCAATGCTGCGTTAAGTGTTCTCCCTGTAGACTTGACCACAGTTGCATGGTATGCGGAAGACTCCTGCAGAGGTGAGAGGATCCCACCTGTTCAGGAAACAATCAGGGCCAGCTAACACCTCCCAACAAAGGATTCCTCATGCAAGAAGCAACCAGGTTTTGAAGCTGCAAGGCTATTCAATGTCAATCAAGGCGGCCAATTGCAACATTCACACTTGCTTCAAACAGACGAGGGTTCTTTCTCCCACCCTGGACATTATTCTACACACACACACACACACACACACACACACATATATATGCATACACATACACGCTCCATTTGCCTCACTCACCAGCAGCAGAACCTCTGAAGATGCCATTAGCCACAGGTGCAGGCGAAACATCAGAAAATAATGCTAGTGGAACATGGAATGCTGTGATTTCTAAAAGTCAGCATGGATTTCTCAAAAGCAAGTCATGCCAAGCTAGTCTTACCTCTCTTTTTTTTTTTTTTTTGGATAGTTACAAGCTTGGTAGATGCAGGGAAAGCTGTGGACTTAGCATACCTTGATTGCAGGAAGGCCTTTGACAAAATCCCCCATGACCTTCTTGCAAACAGACTAGTCCAATGAGGGCTAGCCAAAACTATGGTTAGGTAGATCCGGAATAAGTCAAGCAACTGAACCCAAACGTGATTCTCCCCAATGGTTCATCTTCTTCATCCTGGAAAGAAGTGACTATTTGGGTGCCATAAAGAAGGTTCTGTTCTGGGCCCAGTTCTGTTCAACATCTTTATTAATTACTTGGATGAAGGTTTAGAGGGTAGGCTGATCAAGTTTGGAGATGGGACCAAATTGGGAGGGGGAGCTAATACTACAGAAGAAAGGATCAGGAAGCAAAAGTACCTTAACAGATTAGAAAGCGGATTGGCCAAAACTAACAAAATGCATTTCAACAAGGACAAATGTAGGCTACCACACTTAGGAAAAGATTCAGGATGGGTGATGCCTGGCTCAACAATAGTCCAGGTGAGAAAGATCTTGGAGTCTTCGTGGACAACAAGTTGAACATGAGACAAGAGTGTGATGCAGCAGCTCAAAAAGCCAATGGGATTTTGGGCTAGATCCAAAGGAGTCTAGTGTCTAGATCGAGGGAAGTCATGGTGCCTTTGTATTCAGCTTTGGTCAGACCTCTTTACCTGGAATACTGTGTCCAATTCTGGGCACCACAGTTCAAAGCAGATACTGACTCTAAGCTGGAAGGTGTCCAGAGGAAGAGGGCGAGTAAAAGAATCAAAGGTCTGGAGACCATGAATAAACTCTTTGAGGGGCGTCTTAAAGAACTGGGTCTGTTTAGCCTGCAGAAGAAGAGAAGGTTGAGAGGAGATGTGAGAGCTATGTTTACATACATGAAGGGGTGTCATAGGAAAAAGGAGTAGGCCTGTTTTGAGACTGGGACTCAGAGCAATGGGTTCAAACGACAGGAAAGGAGATCCCACTTGAACATTAGGAAGAACTTCCTGACTGTAAGAAGAGCTGTTCAGCAGTGGAACTCTCTGCCTTGGAGTTCAGTGGAAGCTCCTTTCTTGGAGGCTTTTAAACAGAGCCATCTGTTTAAAAGCCATCTGTCAGGGATACTTGGTCACTGTAAATTATCTTGTATCTTAATGCTTTTTATTCATTAGATTTATACTTGTAAGTATGTCTGAAGTGTTATATTATGTATATTTCTTAATTTTGTAAAGTTCTTAATTTTGGTTATGTTTGGGTTGTCACTATAAGTTTATATTGATGTTGCCCGAGTCCCTAAGCCGCCCCGAGTCCCTTTTTGGAAGAAGATGGTGGCGGGATATAAATAAAGTTATTATTATTTGTTTTCAATTTGATTTGTTGCCTGTTTGTTTTTTTGGCATTGAATGTTGGCCAGCTTTGTTAGAAACCGCCCTGAGTCCCCTCAGACAGATAGGGCGGGTTACAAATGAAGTTATTATTATTATTATTATTATTATTATTATTATCACTTTGTGTGTTTCCTGCATGGCAAAATGGGGTTGGACTGGATGGCCCATGAGGTCTCTTCCAACTCTAGGATTCTATTTCTCTCTTTCCTTCTCTGGCCTTTCAACAGAGGCTGGGTGGCCATCTGTCGGGGCTGCTTTGATGGTGCTTTTCCTGCCTGGCAGAAGGGGGTTGGACTAGATGGCCCACGAGGACTCTTCCAACTCTGCTATTCTAGGATTCCCTCTCTCTCTCCTTCTCTGGAGGCCTTTCAACAGAGGATGGGTGGCCGTCTGTCGGGGCTGTTTTGATGGTGCTTATCCTGCATGGCAGGGGGTTGGACTAGATGGCCCATGGGGTCTTTTCCAACTCTATTATAATTCTATGATTCTCTGGCCACATAGCCCGGAAAACTCACAGCAAGCCAGTGATTCCGGCCATGAAAGTTTTGGACAACACATATGATTGCTGTCCTTTCTTCTTCTCTTTGCAGGGCGGGGGGGGGGGGCACAGGAAGAGCCAAAGGGGCGGGGCTTGGTGCTACCCCCCCCCCCCTTCTGCTATCCACCCCCCTCCCTCCCTCCCTCCGCTGGGCCTACCTCCGAGAGGTCATTTTCCCCGCCAGCGTTGTCCTCCGAGGGGGGCCCGGGGGCCTCGCAGGGGGAAAGGCGACGCCCACGAGCCGGGCCAGCCGCGGGAGCCGAGCGGGAGCCAGCCACACACAGGCCAGCGGCGCTGCACCCGCCTCCGCGCGTCATCCCCCGGCGACGCCGCCTCAAGCCCCGCCCCCACCCCCACCCCAACATCCGGGACACTCCCGCCAAACTCAGCCTCTGACTTCGTTGGTTAGGGGGAAAACAGACCCGTGTGCTTTATGTTCTCGTTGGTGTCAGAAGCGAATCGAGAATACAGTGATAATGTATTTAAAAACCACAGACAAAGTTAGAAACTTGCCATTGTCCTAAATGTCCTTTGACCAGGGGCTGCCCACTTGGAGTGCCTCTGGTGTCGCTGTGAGAAGGTCCTCCATTGTGCATGTGGCAGGGCTCAAGCTGCATTGTAGTAGGTAGTCTGGGATTTGCTCTCCTCCACACTCGCATGTCGTGGACTCCACTTTAGCCCAATTTCTTCAGCTTGGCTCTTATTGTTATATTTATTTACACCCCACTTTATCTCCCCAAAGGGGACTCAAAAGTGGCTTGACATAAAAGCATTGGTATCCAATTGCAAATATACAAACATTAAAACAGAATTAAACACAAACAGCTAAACATAAAAAAAACCAAGATTATGGCAACAAGAATGATTGACAACTGGAAAATAGAGGGAGAAAATGTGGAGGCCGTGACAGACTTTGTATTTCTAGGCGCAAAGATGACTGCAGATGCAGACTGTGGCCAGGAAATCAGAAGACGCTTCTTCCTGGGAGGAGAGCAATGTCCAGTCTCGATAAAATAGTAAAGAGTAGAGACATCAGACTGGCAACAAAGATCCGCCTAGTCAAAGCCATGGTATTCCCTGTAGTAACCTACGGATGTGAGAGCTGGACCTTAGGGAAGGCTGAGCGAAGGAAGGTTGATGCTTTTGAACTGTGGTGTTGGAGGAAAGTTCTGAGAGTGCCTTGGACTGCGAGAAGATCCAACCAGTCCATCCTCCAGGAAATAAAGCCCGACTGCTCATTGGAGGGAAGGATACTAGAGACAAAGTTGAAGTACTTTGGCCACATCATGAGGAGACAGCAAAGCCTAGAGAAGACAGTTATGCTGGGGAAAGTGGAAGGCAAAAGGAAGAGGGGCCGACCAAGGGCAAGATGGATGGATGGCATCCTTGAAGTGACTGGACTGACCTTGAAGGAGCTGGGGGTGGTGACGGCCGACAGGGAGCTCTGGCGTGGGCTGGTCCATGAGGTCACGAAGAGTCGGAGACGACTGAACGAATGAACAACAAAAAAACACAAACAGCATTCAAAATTTCAGATTAAAACCATCAAAACATTCAAAGTTAAAAATCATTGCACTTCTTTAAGGTTCTTGATTGGTCTTGATAGGAAATGCCTGCATTTAATGTTTTTATAGCTCAATTGTGTCTCAAACTGGCAGTGAGATACAGAGTTTCATCTATGCTGACGATCATGCCATCACCACTCAAGCAGCGAGCTTTGAAATGGTTGAACAGAAGCTCTCTGAAGCTCTAGGTGCTCTTACTGTCTATTACAGCGAAATCTGGCTGATTCCTAATCCATCCGAAACGCAGGCATGTGTTTTTCACCTTAAGAAATCCCACTAGAGCATTGCAGCATGCACAAATACCTGGGAGTTACCCTGGACCAAGCTCTGATTCAAAAGAAGCACTGCTTGACTATCAAGCAAAAAGTGGGCGCTAGAAATAATATAGGAAAGCTGACTGGCACAACCTGGGGATCACAACCAGACACAGTGAAGACATCTGCCCTTGCGATTCGCTACTCTGCTGCTGAATACGCATGCTCAGCGTGGAATAAATCTCATCACATTAAAACAGTAGATGTGGCACTGGAGAAATTATACTGCTTAGCTGGTGTTGCACCACCTGACATCTGTCGGGAAGTAGCAGCCATTAATGAAAGGACATCTCTGGCCTGTCCTCTGTTCAGACATCAGCCAGCAAGCCAACACCTTATATCAAGAAACAGCTTCCTAAGATCTACTCACAGGAATACCTCAGCAAGCAATAGTCCAAAAGTGGCAGGCTAAAACCTGCAACTTGAATCATTGGTTGAGACTGGGTGAGAGACTCCCTCCTGGGCACATAGAAAACTAGACGACTTGGAAAGTGCTGAACAGGCTGCGCTCTGGCACTACGAGATGCAGCAACAATCTTAAGAAACGGGGCCACAAAGTGGAACCCACAACATGCGAGTGCGGAGGAGAGCAAACCACACTGACTATAATGCAGTCTAAGGGCCCTTCCAGGCAGGCCCTATATCCCAGGATCTGATCCCAGGTTTTCTGTTTATCCCAAATGATCTGGCAGTCCGGACTCACGTAATCCGATTTAAAGCAGAAAACCTGGGTTGAGATCCTGGGATATAGGGCCTATCTGGAAGGGCACTTTGTCTGTAGTATTTTACACATTATAAGTGTATTCTCAATTTGCTTCTGACACCTTTAATAACATCAATCGGCTATCGTCCAAAGCGCCATCTGTCGGACGTTCGAGGCTTTCCGGCCAGCGCGCTGACGTCACGTCACTTACTCCCTTTAGTGCCGAGTTCCCGGATGTTGCCTCCTTTTTTGCTCCATCTCGGAAGGTAAGGATGGCGGCGGCGCGGCTCTTCTCCGTTGAATCTCGGTGTTGTTATCCGCGGCCATCCTCCACACAGGAGCGCCGCCCGGGAGGCGGGGAGGCACCGAGAGCTTCGGGGATGTCTAGCGGGAGGCGAGGGGTTGCTATTTTGGGAGTGGAGAGCGGGAAGGCGTCGCCCTGCAGGATAGGCCGCGCTCGAAGCCATTGAGTTTGTCTTTTTAGAGACAGTTTTGCCTTACGGCAGGCATGGTCAGACATGGGCCCATGCCTGCTTTACGGGGTAAACCTGCATTTGAACCTCATCTCTTGCAAAGCTTCCATTTGAACTTCTATATGATAGGCCTGCATTATTTTCGTGTCTTTTAGCCTTAGGCCTGTGTCTTGGAATCCTATATATCTTAGGTGGATGTATCTTCAGATACATGATGCTGGTCATTGACCATGCTTGTAAGCTGCCTGTAGAATCCCATGCAGTTGATCTGCTCAAGCTCCATGCAGGGCAATGGTGGGAGTTGTAGTTTGGGGAGCTGCCAGCCCTTGAAGCCCTGGCCAGGCTACAACTCCCAGCCTTCCCTAGCATTGCACATATAGATGTATATGTAGATTTTATATATGTATGTGTGTGTAGTGTGTATATATATATAAATAAAATGTATCATGTAATATGTAATATATATTACATGTAATACACATTCTACATTGTAACATATATGTATATAACATATGTAGATATATAACATATATAATAAATAATACTTTATACAGTGCAATGTTACATGTGTATGTAATATATGTAGGTGTGTGTGTATATATTATGTAGCCGCTTTACCTCTCCTTGGAGAGAGAAATAGGGTATAGATAAATACACATATATTTGTATTGCATTGTATATGTTATATTTTTATATACCAGGTCCATGATGTCAGAGATTTGGCTGCAGAAAGAGCCAGACTGGCCCATGGAGTTGGTTGTGCAGTGTGGGACCAAGGTTGAAGGGTAACTTTGGGCCAGGCTGCTTTGAATTTTGGACTAAACATTGCTGTCTTTTGGAGACAGGATACTGATTGTTTACTGCCTGGAGTCCTTAAATGGGGAGAAAAGCAGGATTAAAATGCAATACATCGATATTGAATGGGGCTTATGGAAAATTTTGATTGTACTTTGTTTAGATTTGGCTTCCAACTCCAGCTAAATAAAGACATCTACATTTTGGGGACAAAAAAACCCCCAAGTGCTTCTGGCTCAAGCATTTTGGGAAAGGGGCATTTAAGATGTACTACTTTGAATACATAGGACTAATATTTTCCAAGATAAGGATGCTAGGTTGAACTCTCTAGCATAGATATTTGCAATATACACATTTCCCCCTGCCTCAAACTGACTTGAAGCCTTCAGTCCACAATTGTGTAAGTTCAAAAATGCTTCCCAGGCTGGATCTATGCTGCCCTATATATATTCCAGGATATGATCCCAAGTTATTTGGTAGTGTAGACTCATGATCCATTTGAAAGCAGATAATCTGGGATTGGATGCTGTAGGGCAATGGGGGGAGGGGAGGGGCAGTCCATCCATAGTCACTTTGGGTTTTGTCCCTGTGCATAATTGGGAATTATGTCCTTTAGAAAGTTTCTATTATCAAATCTTCAGCTGTCAGCGATTCTATCTTTTTCCAATATTGTGCATATATACCATTCTTGCTCCAGTTGATGTGTACTGTAATGTTTGGTCACATCTGTATCCAAATTCCCAAATGGTCTTGCTTGAGAGCAGGGGTTAAATGCCATCGGGACATTGTCTTGTACACATTTTCTTTGAGATCTTGATAGAAGATTTCTTTGAGGTCCCTTCCACACAGCCATATAACCCAGAATTTCAAGGCATATAATCCGAGGTTTTATTCAGCTGTGTGGAAGGGGCCTGAGTCCCGACTAACGTGACGGATTGGTCATTGTTTCTGGTGGCCCTCTCTCACTCCCTCTTTGTCCCTCCTTTCTTCCTTGCATTATACAAGTGACTAACATTTTATGCTTTACTCAGATGGCAGGCGAGAAGAAAACCAAGCGAGTCCGGAAAGTCCACACCAGCCGCAACCCAGTGCTGGCCCGAGGGATCGGGAAGTACTCCCGCTCGGCCATGTACGCCCGGAAAGCCATGTACAAACGCAAATACAAAGCTCCGGAAACAAAGGTAGAAGAGATGCGGATGTTAAAGCTCTCTGCAGCAGTGCTTCTTTCATGGCCCTGTTTACTTGAGTCAAACACTTGCCTTTTGGGGCGAAATAACCTTGCCAAAATGAGGGTGCGCATGAGATTTGTGCCATACGGTCCTCTTACTGCTGAGCCAAAGACAAAAGGGAAACTGCTTCAAGAGCATCACCCAGAGATCCTTGCCTCTAGCTTAATTGCCATGGCGTAGCCTGGGATTTGTAGTTTGGTGAGGTACCAGCATTCTTTGGAAAGAAGGCCAAAGTACACCCCCATTACTCCTTAGCACTGAAGCAAGGCAACTAAGGTGGATTCATTCTACAGCAGTGTTTCACAACCTGGGGGTCGGGACCCCTGGGGCGGTTGTGAAGGGGGTGTCAAAGTGGTTGCCAAAGACCATCAGAAAGCACAGTATTTTCTGTTGGTCATGGGGGTTCTTTGTGGAAAGTTTGGCCCAATTCGATCGTTGGTGGGGTTCAGAATGCTCTTTGATTGTAGGTGAACTATACATCCCAGCAACTACAACTCCTAAATGTCAAGGTCAATTTTCCCCAACCTCCACCAATGTTCACATTTGGGCATATTGAGTATTTGTGCGAACTTTGGTCCAGCTCTATCATTGTTTGAGTCCACAGTGTTCTCTGGAGATTGGTGAACTACAACTCCAAAGCTCAAGGTCAATGCCCACCAAACCCTTCCAGTATTTTCTGTTGGTCATGGGAGTTCTGTGTGCCAAGTTTGGTTCAATTCCATTGTTGGTGAAGTTCAGAATGCTCTTTGGTTGTAGATGAACTATAAATCCCAGCAATTACAACTCCCAAATGACAAAATCAACTCCCCACAACCCGACTAGTATTCAAATTTGGGCGAAGCAGGTATTTGTGCCAAATTTGGTCCAGTAAATGAAAATACATCCTGCATTTCAGATATTTACATTACGATTCATAACAGTAGCAAAATTACAATTATGAAGTAGCAACAAAAATAATTTTATGGTTGGTGGTTACCGCAACATGAGGAACTGTATTAAGGGGTTGGGGCATCAGGAAGGTTGAGAAGTACTGTTCTACAGTATAGCAGCACCCCAAGCTTTTCCTTTCCATCACTGGGAGCTATGATGTGTTCTCACACTTTTGTTCTGAAAGAAGGAATTCTAAACAGGTAGCAACTGTAAGGGTGAAATTACAAAGAGGGGACTTTTTGCCGCTGTGCATTCAACAGCAAAAACATTTTGGTTTCAGGGTTTTGAAAATTGATGTGTGCATTACACTTGAGTAAATACAGTATTTGGTGTGAAGGAACAAGGGTTTTTTTCCCCCCAGTGTAATGAGGATTGGCACTGCATTGATACTAAGCAATGATGACACTTTCCTGGAAAGTGCAGACTAGCAGAGAATGGCTCATGGATTGCGGGTGAGCCACAGACAGTCACTTTGGGTAGAGCAAGGGGACATACTAGCAGCCTAGAAATGTAGAGTGGGCTCAGATGCCCTGTAGTGGTTTCATTGGACTAGGATTTAGGGAGATTGGCTTTAAATCTCTGCTCAGCCACTGGGTTCTCGGCCTAAGAGGAAGGCAATGGCTAACAGAGGGAATCTTGCCAAGGAAATCCTAAGAGACAGTTGCCACAAGTCAGGAATTGGCTTGTATAGCCTGAAATGGGTATTATCTCAAAAAAGTAATAAAACCTGGGAGAAATCAACATTGGTTTGTTGTGTGTTTTCCGAGCTGTATGGCTATGTTCTAGAAGCATTCTCTCCTGATGTTTTGCCTGCATCTGTGGCAGGCATCCTCTGAGATTGTGAGGCCAAACATCCCGGAAAACACAACAACAAAACAAACCAGTGATTCCGGCCATAAAAGCCTTCAACAATACATTGAAGTCATCAATGTTTGCTACCATGTTACTGATGTCTGGAAGCTGAGGGTTGGGAAGAATGGGGGGACTTACTCGATCTCGCTTGTAGACAGCTGGCTTGATTCTTTTGGGGAAGCAGTAGTCATTCTACGTCCTTTGGAGGCAGGCACCTGTTCTTAGAGCCGTTGTGTGGAAGGTGTGCTGGTTTGCAGAGATCTTTACAGCGCTTGATGTTTGTCTCCCTTGCAGATCGAGAAGAAGAAGAGAGAGAAGGAGCCAGCCACAATCACAAAACCTGTTGGAGGCGATAAGAATGGAGGCAACCGGGTGGTCAAGCTTCGCAAAATGGTAAGGACACACCTAAGCAGCGGTGGCATTTTCATACTGCACACAGATTTGCGCTGGGAGAAGACTGGAGATATTTTCCACCTTTGGCCAGGTTTCCCTGCTGATTGTGCCCAGAATTCTGCTCAGAAGAGGTTTCCCTCTTCTGGGCATGATTTCCGGGCATCTATGGCTACTGTAGTGCTTCCACTGGGGACACTTGAAAATGGGTCAAAAGCTTGCCCATTTTTTTCAGAAAGCAAGAATTTTTCATTCTCTTTCTGCAGTACTTTTTAATGCCTGCATCCCGCCATGCAAGTGAACTCAAAACTCAGAATTTTAGGTCCATGTTTACTTGTTAGGAAAAACTAAGTGATGAGGTTCAGGCCTAAGGTTTGCGCTGCACTCTTGTCTCCCTCCAGCCCCGATATTACCCCACAGAAGATGTGCCCCGTAAACTGCTGAGTCACGGCAAGAAGAATTTTGCCCTCCACAAGAGAAAGCTGCGGGCTTCCATTACCCCGGGGACTGTGGTGATCCTGCTCACCGGGCGCCACCGAGGCAAGGTAAGGGCAGCCCCCTGACCCTTGTCTTTGGGCAGGTGAGCACTGTAGATGAGTTGCCTTTTCTCCGCGGTTGCCTTTTCACAAACCTTTTCTATCTTGTGTTTTTAGCGTGTTGTCTTCCTGAAGCAGCTTGGAAGTGGGCTATTGCTCGTAACAGGTAAGCTCCTCTGGTTGAGCAGCAGCGGAGTTCATGGGGGTGCCTTCCTGGGGTCATGGGAGCTAGAAGAGGAGACAAAAACATAATATTTGTGTTATCAAAGGATTTCATAGCCAGAATCACTGGGTTACTGTGAGATTTCTGGGCTTTCCAGACAGGAAACAATCAGGGCCAGCTAACACCTCCCAACAAAGTTTCCCTTCAGGCAGGAAGCAGCCAGGCTTTGAAGCTGCAAGGCAATTCAATGCTAATCAAGGTGGCTAGTTGCAACATTCCCACTTGTCTCCAACAGACAAGAGTTCTTTCTCCCACCCCGGACATTCCACAGATATATAAACCTCACTTGCCTAGTCTCCAAGGGACTTCACCACCTCTGAGGATACCTGCCGTAGATGTGAATGAAATGTCAGGAGAGAATGCTTCTCGAACATGGCCATACAGCCTGGAAAACTCACAGCAACCCATAGAATATTTGATCTAACAGCCCCTTCCACCAGTGAACCAGATGTGGGCAATTGGGGGTGCATCCGCCCCCAAACACCTCACAGCACCCTGCTTGGAGGCATTGGGTCCATTTCCGTTGAGTGTTTGGATTCCACTGGGTCATTTTGGGACCAAGAGGGGACTTTTTCCATCTTACAAAAACCTTGTGTGAGCCTTACAGTGCCCCAGAAGAAAAACAAATCAAAGAATGCTTCATTAAATGGGCTCAAGATATTGGTTATGGACACAAATAAAGACATACTATTTAGTAATGGCAGCAAGCATAGTCTATTCAAGAAGTTGGGGAGAAAAGGAAATACCCTCAGCAGAACAGTAGCTAATAAAAATAGTGGAAATTATTATGAGTATGAACAAATTGACCCAATTATTAGCAAAGTCCCAGGGAAAGTCTAGGAAACCAACTGATGGACTACCTTTCAAAGAATATGTTACGAGAGAAAAGGAGAATGATAATATAGTAAAATCTAATAAGTAGTTTAGCTCACAAACTTCTTATTGCTCAATTCAGAATAAAACTAAAAAGATCAGGGAAAACACAGACCAGTAACTAACATTCCTAGCGTATATGCAGTGGAAGTGAAGACCAGATTTAAAGTACTAGATTTAGTAAATAGAGTCCCAGAAGAACTATGGACAGAATTTCACGACATTGTTCAGGAGGCGGCAACAAAACACGTCCCAAAGAAAAAGAAAGCAAAATGGTTGTCTGCTGAGACACTGGAAGTAGCCCAAGAAAAGAGGAAAGCAAAAGGAAACAGTGATAAGGGGAGATATGCCCAGTTAAATGCGCAATTCCAGAGGTTAGCCAGAAGAGATAAGGAACTATTTTTAAATAAGCAGTGCATGGAAGTGGAAGAAGACAACAGAATAGGGAGGACCACAGACCTCTTTCAGAAAATTAGAAACACGACGTAAATTTCAGGCAAAAATGGGCATGATAAGAAACAAAGATGGCAGGGACCTAACAGAAGCTGAAGAGATCTATACAGAAGATCTTTATAGGAAAGATAATATCGAGGATAGTTTTTCAGAGTGTGATGAGTGAATTAGAACCAGACATCCTGAGGTGTGAGGTTGAATGGGCCTTAAGAAGCATTGCTAACAACAAGGCAGCAGGAGACAACGGGATCCCAGCTTGAAAGAGGATGCTGTCAAGGTGATGCATGCCATATGCCAGCAAATATGGAAAACACAAGAATGGCCATCAGACTGGAAAAAATCAACTTATATCCCCATACCAAAAAAGGGAAATGCGAAAGACTGCTCAAACTTCCGTACAGTGGCCCTTATTTCTTATACCAGTAAGGTAATGCTCAAGATCCTGCAAGGAAGACTCCAGCAACACATGGAGAGAGAGTTGCCAGATGTACAAGCTGGGTTTAGAAAAGGCAGAGGACCAAATTGCCAATATCCGCTGGATAATGGAGAAAGGCAGGGAGTTTCGGAAAAACATCTATTTCTGTTTCATTGGCTATTCCAAAACCTTTGTGTGGATCATAATAAATTGTGGCAAGTTCTTTGTGGTATGGGCATACCAAGCCACCTTGTCTCCCTCCTGAGGAATCTGTATAAGAACCAAGTAGCAACAGTCAGAACTGACCATGGAACAACAGACTGGTTCAAGTTTGGGAAAGGCGTACTGCAGGGCTGTATCCTCTCACCCAACCTATTCAACTTGCATGCAGAACACATGATGCGATTTGCAGGGCTTGACGAATGTAAGGCTGGGGTGAAAATTGCTTGAAGAAATATTAACAACCTTAGATATTCAGATGATACCACTTTGATGGCCGAAAGCGAGGAGGAGCTGAGGAGCCTTCTAATCAAGGTGAAAGAAGAAAGCGCAAAAGCTGGGTTGCAGTATGGCAACAAGAATGATTTGACAACTGGGAAATAGAGGGAGAAAACATGGAGGCCGTGACAGACTTTGTATTTCTAGGTGCAAAGATTACTGCAGCTGCAGACTGCAGCCAGGAAATCAGGAGACACTTACTTCTTGGGAGGAGAGCAATGACCAATCTTCATAAAATAGTGAAGAGTAGAGACATCACACTGGCAACAAAGACCCGCATAGTTAAAGCAATGGTATTCCCCGTAGTCGCCTACGAATGTGAGAGCTGGACCTTAGGGAATGCTAAGCAAAGCATTCCCTAAAGCATTTTGAACTGTGGTGCTGGTGGAAAGTTCTGAGAGTGCCTTGGACCCCGAGAAGATCCAACCAGTCCATACTTCAAGAAATAAAGCCTGACTGCTCATTGGAGGGAAAGACAGTAGAGGCCAAGATGAAGTACTTTGGCCACATCATGAGAAGAAAGGAAAGCTTAGAGAAGACAATGATGCTGGGGGAAATGGAAGGAAAAAGGAAGAGGGGCCGACCAAGGGCAAGATGGATGGATGGCATCCTTGAAGTGACTGGCTTGACTCTGAAGGAGCTCGGGGTGGTGACAGCCGACAGGGAGCTCTGGCATGGACTGGTCCATGAAGTCACGAAGAGTCAGAAACGACTGAACGAATGAACAACAATAAAAAGAAAAATTGTCTCATAAGGAAGATGAGCGAAAAGGAAAAGCATATAATTAAGGACAGTAACTACTCACGATTAAGAAGATTGGAAGTTATAAGCTTACCCTCCCTCCCCATTTCTATCATTTCCCCTTCCACGGTCCTTTCCCCACCCCTGCCTAATTACCCTTTCCACATTATTTAAAAAACAATATTGGTTGTAAAATAAATTTAGCAATTTGGGGGGGGGGGATGTGGATTCAACACTTAACATTTAGCCAAGCTAATGAGATTATCGAGAACTTTCACAAAATGATGTTCAGATGGCATATCACCTCATCAAAATCGGCACAGATTCACAAAAATTGTCAGGATAAGTTTTGGAAATGCAGTCATAGTAATAAAAGCAGAAAGCGCAGGGAAACACCTTTCTGCCATGCAGGAAAAGCACAATCAAAGCACCCTTGAGCAGTGGGAGGGAAATAGCAAGGTGGGGGGGGTGCTAGGAGGGGGGAGGGAAGTGTGGAGCCCCTCCATATGTTTCATGGAGCACACTTTAAGAACCTCTGGCATCGATATTTGAGCATTAGACTGGGGCTCCTCTAAGAGCCCATGTTTGAACCCCTGATCCATCATGGAAACCCGCTGGGTGGCTTTGGGCGAGGCATGTCTCTTAGCCTCAGAGGACCCCCGTGACAATCCTCAGAGTCCATCTTGTTTCTCTGTCCTGCCTTCAGGGCCCCTGGCCATTAACCGTGTTCCTCTGCGAAGGGCTCATCAGAAGTTTGTCATTGCCACATCCACCAAGGTCGACATTTCCAGCGTGAAGCTCCCCAAGCACCTCAACGACATCTACTTCAAGAAGAAGAAGTTGCGCAAACCCAAGCACCAGGAGGGTGAAATCTTTGACACCGAGAAAGAGGTAGGGGCTTGTGTGTGCCACAGAAAAGACCTTCAGAGACAGGAGGACCGGAGCCCTGTTGCAGTCTGCACTTGCAGCCGTGCCAATCATCTTTTATAAATCACCATAAAGCAGCTTCCAAATATCCAAGAGGACTAGGCTGGGTGAAATGTGCTCCCCATTTGCGACTAATATTTAAGTTCCTTTTTAGTGAAATGCGAGTGCTTTTAGAATTGTTAACACTGAACATCAGAGCATACCTCCATTGATCAGTCCAAGGCCCCTTCCACACATCTGTATAAAATCCACATTGAACTGGATTATATGGCAGTATGGACTCGGATAACTCAGTCCAAAACAGATTGTGGATTCGCTGCCTTGGATCTTCTGAGTTATATGGCTGTGTGGAAGGGCCCTGGGTTATCTAAGTCCACACTGCCATATAAAGCAAATATTGTGGGATTTTCTGCCTTGATCTTCTGGGTTATATGGCTGTGTGGAAGGGCCCTAAAAATTAAGTTGCTACCTTACATTAGAAAATATCTAATGTAATTGTGAACATAATATTTCTACCTCACCCTCTCTCCCCGAGGGGACTCAGGGCAGCTTCCAAAATAAGGTGGACATTCAATGTCCCATGCAATATAAAATAACATCTTAAATTAACATCTAAATAAAATTCAAAACGAATAAAAACAATCCTTGACAAGCAAACAGACTATTGCCTCATTGAATGCATGGAGCAGTCAAGTTCTGTTTCAAAAAGGAGCATGAATATAAAATGACAAGTGGCACTACAAATGCTGCTCTGAGATCAGAATGAAGAGAAGGGGCCATGAAGGCAGTTCCATCTTGCCTCCAGTGTCATCAGTTGGGAGCCGCCCCCTCCCCAGCACCAACCGCTACTCTGAGATAAGAGTGAAGAGGGGGACCAGGAAGGCAGTTCCACCTTGTCTCCTGCACTATGCTTATAATATAATATATTGTATAGACATATAATATTGATAATAGTATAATGTAATACAATTATATATTTTATATTAAATGTAATATTACTAATATTACAGTATAATGTTATAGTACAATGTAATATATAATATTAATATTGTGCTATGATAATAATATATTGTATTTACTTTTTACTTGTAAGCCGCTCTGAGTCCCCTTCGGGATGAGAAGGGCAGCATATAAATGTCATAAATAAATAAATAAATGGATGCTAGTAGGGTGATCAGTTGGATGGAGGCCATGAAATATTACTCTGCTTCCTCTCCATAAGCTAATGTACACAAGTACCATGTATACTCAAGTATAAGCCGACTTGAATATAAGCCAAGGCACCTAATTTTACCACAAACACACTGGGAAAACTTACTTGACTTGAGTATAAGCCGAGGGTGGAAAATGCAGCTGCTATTAGTAAATTTCAAGAATAAAAATAAAAATAGATACCAATAAAATTACAATAATTGAGGCATCAGTAAGATGAAATGCTTTTGAATATTTACATAAAACTGTAATTTAATATAAGACTGTCCAACTCTGATTAAATCATTATTCTAACCTTCAGTGTACATGTGCCTTCCAATAATAATAATTTAGGTAAAATAAGAAATGTAATAATAACAATAGAGTAAAATAAGAAATGTAATAATAATAATAGAGAAAAAGTAATTATTATAATAACAGAGTAAAATAAGAAATATAATAATAACAATAATAGAGAAAAATAATAAATTTACTAATAATAAATAGAATAAAATGAATGTAATAATAATAATAGAGTAAAATAAATGTAACAAAAATCAATAATCACTATACCGTTTATTTTAACTACTGTATACATTTTGGGGGAAATGCTGTGTGTATATGAATAAGAAAAAGTGAGAAAGACTGACTTGGGAAGGAGGTGGGAAAGGACTGGAAACAGGAAAAAGTTGGAATGGGAAGAGATGTTTGAAAAATGGGGAAATGAGGTGGGAAAGGGAGTAGATGGAAAAGACAGATTGGGGTGGGAAGGGGGCAACTGGGGAAGGAGGAAAGATTGAGATGGGAAAGGGGGGCTGGAAACTGGGAAAGGTTGGGGTGGGAAGGGGGGCTGGAAAGTGGAAACTGCAGTGGGAAAAGGGGCAAGACTGAAATAGGAAAGACGCTGGAATCTGGGAAAGGTTGGGGTGGAAAGTGGAGGGAGAGGGGCTGAGGAATAGGGATAGCAAGGGGGAAACTACAAAAAGGGAAGGCTGGGGTGGGAAATGGGATAGAAAAGTGGGGAAAAACTGAGGGGGAAGGATTAGGGAGGGAAATTGTGGGTGGGGGGGATCCTTCCTTTGACTCTTTGGAAGGGGCTGCCTGGGAGAGCTTCCTGCTTTTGCAAGGCACCTCAGGAGCTCCTGCTGGGGCGAAGGGGCTGCCTGCCTGCTCTCCTTCCCCTTCCTTCTCCCCAGCAGCCTGCTCTGCCATCTGACTTGGCCAAGGAGAGACAAGGCCTGGGGTTGCATCTTCCTCCTCTCCCCCCCCCCCCCCAAGCAGGGAGGGGAACAGAAGTGGGGAGGTGGCTGCTTGATTGTGGGGGGAGGCGTCTCCTGTGCACTTCCATTTCCCTCCCCGCTTTCCAGGTCTCCCTTCTGAGGGGTGGAAGTGAAAGGAAGAGGAGGCGACCCCAGGCAGCTGGTTGATCGTGGGAAATGAAAGCACAGAGGAGATACCCCCTCCTTGATCCACCAGCTGCCTGCCTGCCTCAGTGGCCAACTGAAGGAGGAGGAGGAGGAAGAAGAAGAGGATAAATGGTGGCTGCCACCCTGGAGGTGGAAGAAGAGCAACGGAGGCAGCAGTCCCTTCTCTTCTTCCTCCTCAATGGCCAGCTGGAGGAGAAAAGGAGGCGAAAGGGCAGCGGCCCCTGTGTTGCCTTGCCATTTCTCCTCTTCTTCCTCGTCTTCCTCTTCCATGGAGGAGGAGGAGGATTGGCAGAAACAGCGGCTGTGGCAGCATAGGAGCCTCAACGGGGGTCCCCTGTGCTGCCTCCGCCGCTTGTCCTCCTCCTCCATGGCCAGCCGGCTTCGGAGCCTTGTCTCCAGGCTCTGATATAAGCCAAGGGAGGATTTTTCAGCCCTCAAAAAAGACCCGAAAAACCGTATATACAGTATGTTTTTAATAGCTTTATAAAGGAGAGGGCTGAAGGGTCAGTTCTAACCTCCTTAGGGAGGGAGTTCCAGAGAGGTCTGTTTTTTGTATATAAAGGCTGTGTTGGGATCCCACCCATGGCCAGGTGTCTTGAGAGAGTTCCTTGCTCTCAGTTATGGACAGACCAGAATGACTAGGCCTGGGATATAACCTTGGATCAGGAATCCAAGTCCAAAAGGTCTATTGCCTTGCTTTCATCCCTAGACCTTTGGGAAGCAAGGGTTTCAAGATGCAGCCGCAATGGGAGTTTTCTTCGAAGATGCCACATGGCATCTTGCAAAGGAGTCTTTGGTGGCCCAGTAGTCCAGCCGTAGAGAAGGGCCTTGAGCCTTGGCAGAGAGAGGGCCCCATCGATTCCCCCAATAAGAAAAAACTGCTCTTCCCATTTTTCCAGAAATATGAGGTGACAGAGCGGCGCAAGGCAGACCAGAAGGCCGTGGACTCGCAGCTCCTGCCCATCGTCAAGAAGACGCCTCAGCTCCGGGGCTACCTGCGTTCTACTTTTTCCCTTTCCAATGGTGTTTATCCTCACAAATTGGTATTCTAAACCGTATGGAAGCAATGCAATAAACATTTGAGGAAACCCCTCCGAAAGCTTATGTTGGTCTCTTATTTTTTCCGGGGGTAGTCCAACCCCCTTCTGCCTTCATGCAGGAAAAGCACAATCAAAGCACTCCTGACAAATGGCCATTCAGCCTGTGTTTCAAAACCTCCAAGGGAAGGCGTTTCCACAACACAGGGCAGAGAGTTCCACTGTTTACATCAGGAAGTTCTTCCCAGTGTTCAGGTGGAGTCTCCTTTCTGGCAATTTGAACTCGTGCCTCCATTTAGTCAAAGGCCACCCTTCTACACTGCCATATAAAATCCAGATTATCTGCTTTGAACTGGATGATATGACAATGTAGACTCATATAATCCAGTTCAAAGCAGATAATTGGATTATATGGCCATGTAGAAGGGGCCCTGGTTTCCAGGGCATCCGTTCACATATATTTATACATGGCTATCGTGCTCCAAAGCCAACCTTCTCAGTAAATGGAGTTTCAGGAAAGCCTGGGTGGGGACTTCTAGGGTTGAGGGGAGGTGCAGTGCCTACATTTCCTTTGCAACACATACACTCAGCAGGCCTGCATAACCTGTGGCCCTCCAGCTCCCAGAAGCCCTAGCCAGCTTGTGCATTGAACAGGAATTCTGGGAGCTGAAGTCCAAAAACACTGGGAGGGCCACAGGTTGAAGGGGCCTGTTGAAACCCAGTCTGATGTCTGATCTTCACATCACATTCCTGTCATATCTGCTGAGTAGTTGTACATCTGTATCAGATGTCGGCAAACTTGGGCCCTCCAGGTATTTTGGACTTGAACTCCCACCATTCCTAACAGCCTCAGGCCCTTTCCCCCTCAGCCACTTAAGCTGAGGAAAGGGCCTGAGGCTGTTAGGAATGGTGGGAGTTCAAGTCCAAAACACATGGAGGGCCCAAGTTTGTCCATACTTGATCTATATGCACATTCTATACCCAGGGGCCTTCATACCCGACACACCAGGTCTGTCGGGTATGAAGCTAAACTGGGTCAACCCTGGTTAGTATTTGGAAGGGAGACCAAGTTCTCTTGGCTCTGTTTTAAAGAAAGGAACTGGCAAAACCACCTCTTCAAGATGCCTGAGCTGAGAAAGCCATTGAAAGACAAATTGCAGGCATCTGCACACATTTGAATCGTTGCTTTCAAAAAGTCCCTCAGGTGCCTTCTACGCTGCCATAAAATCCAGATGATCCAAGCAGACCATCTACATGATCTGCTTTGAGCTGGATGATCTAAGTCTACACAGCCATATCATCTAGTTGAAAGCAGATCGTGTGGATTTTATATAGCAGTGTTAAAGGGGCCCCGGCCACACTACCCCTATATCCCAGGGTCTGATCTCGGGTTGCTTTCAACTGGATTATATGAGTTTCCATATAATTTGGGATGGGATCCTGAGATATCAGGACAGTACGGAAGGGGTCCCTAAAGCATTTCCAGTCTCAAATCACCCCCCCCCCCCCAGTCATTTCCAGAAGGACATTGAACCATTTGACAATTTGGCTCCAAAGGGAATCCAGTCTGACCCATTTCTGCCTGGTGGGAGAGCACCATCCAGGGCCCCCCAATGGAGGGCCATCTTGCTCCACCGATTTAACACTAAAAGGTAACCCTATGTCCTGTGCTGGGAATTGGAATTGCACAAAAGGAGATACTGTTCCTGATCTTATCTGGGGCTGCTGTGTTGTTTTAATGCACGGGTCCTCAGACTATGGCCCGGGGGCCGAATACGGCCCTCCAAGGTCATTTACCTGGCCCTCTCTCAGGGTCAACCTAAGTCTGAAACGACTTGAAAGCATGAAACAACAATCCTATCTCGAGCCAAAAGGAGGCCCACACTTCCCATTGAAATACTAAGTTAAAATTGTTCTTCATTTTAATTATTGTATTGTTTTTAAGTGTTGTTTTTTGTTTGCACTACAAATAAGATATGTGCAGTGTGCATTGGAATTCATTCATTTTTTTTTTCCAATTATAATCTGGCCCTCCAACAGTTTGGGGGACTGTGACCTGGCCCCCTCTGTTTAAAAGGTTTGAGGACCCCTGTTTTAATGGATGGATTTAACTGAATTGTTTTTAATACTAACGATGTTTAATACTTTCGAAGGCTTTCATGGCTGGAATCACTGGGTTGCTGTGAGTTTTCCAGGCTGTATGGCCATGTTCCAGAAGCATTCTCTCCTGACGTTTTGCCTGCATCTATGGTAGGCATTCTCAGAGGTTGTGAGGTCTGTTGGAAACTAGGAAAATTGGGTTTAAATATCTATGGAATGTCCAGGGTGAGATAAAGAACTCTTGTCTGTTTGAGGTAGGTGTGAATGTTTCAATTGGCCACCTTGATTAGCATTTAATGGTCTAGCAGTTTCAAGGTCTGGCTTCTTACTGCTTGCATGAAAGGGACTGCAGACTACATCAACCAGAGAAGTCAGCCATAGCATAGCACTTGATGAACCAACCTGGACACAGCATATTATTTGAGAACACAGAAATGCTGGACCACAGTAACAACCACCATATCAGACTACACAGAGAAGCCATTGAAATCCACAAGCATGTGGAGAATTTCAACAGACAGGAAAAAACCACGAAAATGAACAAAATTTTGCTACCAGTATTAAAATCTCTAAAATCATAACAGTAAATAAAAACAACACTCAAAAAATAGGGAATTCTAGACAAGAAACAATCAGGGCCAGCTAATCACCTCCCTACAAAGGCTCCTCCAGGCAGTAAGAAGCCAGACCTTGAAACTGCTAGGCCATTAAATGCTAATTAAGGTAGCCAATTAAAACATTCACCTCAAACAGACAAGAGTTCTTTCTTCCACCCCAGACATTCCACAGATATATAAACCCCATTTTCCTAGTTTCCAACAGACCTCACAACTTCTGAGGATTGCTCCCATAGGTGCAGGTGAAACGTCAGGACAGAATGCTTCTGGAACATTTTTGCTGTCTATTAATCTTGTTGTGTATCTAAATAATAATAATAATAATAATAATAATAATTCTGTTCCTAAGAAAGTGAGTTCAGGTGCCAGCTTTCCCCTTGGTTTTGTTGTTGTTCATTCGTTCAGTCGTCTCCGACTCTTCGTGACCTCATGGACCAGCCCACGCCAGAGCTCCTTGTCGGCCGTTACCACCCCCAGCTCCCTCAAGGTCAGTCCAGTCACTTCAAGGATGCCATCCATCCATCTTGCCCTTGGTCGGCCCCTCTTCCTTTTGCCTTCCACTTTCCCCAGCATATCACTTTCCCCAGCATACCTTGGTTTGCTTTCCCCACCCCTTGGTTTTAGGCAACTGTTTTCCACACTTTCTTCGTTACCATGATTTGCCAGTATGAGGCGCTGTTGTACAAGGTGTCTCACAACTAGGAAGAAAGCATGACTCTTCAAGGCCAGCTGCAAAGAAAAACTAAAGAGCCCAAATGAGCTTGCAGAAGGTATTAGGGTTTCACACATCCCACAGACATATAAACCCCTTTTTCCTTGTTTCCAACAGATCTCACAACCTCTGAGGATGCCTGCCATAGATGCATGCGAAACGTCAGGAGAGAATGCTACTGGAACATGGCCATACAGTCTGGAAAACTTGAAACAGCCCAATGATTCCGGCCATGAAAGTGCTAGGGTTGCTTTGGAATACACTGTAGGTCCCAAAAGGGCCTTTCGTGGACAGAGAAGATTTGCTCTGACCTTCCTCTGAGGCTGAGAGAGTGCGATCTGGCTACGGGCTGCCATGGTTGAACAAGCATTCCAACCCTGAACCTTTTAGCCTCCCTAGTCCAATACTTGCACCATTAGACCATAAAATTCATTGATCTTCACAAAGATGGCCCAAACAAGCTGTGCCCTGCACTAAAAAAGAATAGCCATCATTCAATCCTAACAACTCAAACAGTTGCCATGTGACAATCCTAAAAAGGCAATGTCAAAACCATCCATCAAGTTTAACAGCTAATTACATTAACAAAGTAAAGCCAAACAGGTGGCCAACAGATGAGACACAATTGTATTGGAAAACCTAGCTTGACCAAGCATTCTTTTCAGCTCAGCTAAGGCTGGGTCTACACTGTCCTTATATCCCAGGATCCGATCCCTGGTTTTCTTCTTATCCCAGATTATCTGGCAGTGTAGACTCGTATAATCCAGTTCAAAGCAGATCACCTGGGATCGGGTCCTGGGATATGAGGGCAGTGTAGATCCAGCCTATGGCCCCTTCAAAACTGCCAAATAAAATCCAGATGATCTGCTTTGAACTGGATTATCTGGCAGTGTAATAATAATAATAATAATACTTAATAATAAACTTTATTTATATCCAGCCCCCTCTCCACAAGGACTTGGTCGGCTTACAACAAAATCAACACGATACATAACAAAGCGAAAATCAAAAGCAAAAATAAAAAAGACAGTATATCATATATAAACGATCATAAACAAAATTAAATGACAGTATCACAATAATAAATACAAACAGGTTTTAAAAATTTTGCTGGGTTTAAAAACATTGCATTATATTTTAATTTTTTTTTAAAAGAATGGTAAGTGTTTATATAGTTTATGTGTAATGTCTGCTATCTTAGATGTAGATTAACTGTTTGCTTTATGTTTCTTATTTATGATTTGGATCTGGCATTGAATTTTTTGCCATCTTTTGTTGGAATCTGCCCTGAGTTCCTTTGGGGAGAGAGGGCAGAATATAAATAAAGTTTATTATTATTATTATTATTATTATTATTATTATTATTTAGTTAATAATATTATCATATTATTATTTAGACAGTTAGAGGAAGATAGGCATTTGTATTATATTAATATTGAAAGTATATGTGATTTATTATAATTATTATATTTGTATATGTAGAATGTATATTATATAATTAATAATAATATATTATTATATTATTATTATTTAGGCAGTAAGAGGAAGACAGGCATTTGTATTATATTATATTAATATTATATATATAATTTAGATTACAATATAATATATTAATATTATATAGTA